ACCCAGACCCAATAAGGAAGGATGACCCAATAGTAAGGAAACGAGCAAGAAAGAAGCCAGCGTGGATGACTGATTATGTCTGCGGACAAAATTAGAAGATCCTGATATGCTCAAATTAATTCCTGAAATTTCTGCTGCAAATTATTAGTTTAATTCCTGTTTTATTTCCCTAATTTTTGCTTGATTATTAGCACTCAATTCCTTTTAATAGCTATGATGTAATCAAAACAGAACAGAATAAAAGTTTTCAAGATCCTTTTTCCTTCAAATTCTATTATTCTCTTTCCCTTAATTTTCTGAGAAATGGACACTCACTCGAAGAATGTTAAAACCTTTGAACATTCTGCAGCAGAGTGTATCAGGTTGCGTGGTGTAGTGGGTTTGTTGGTTGAGACCACAAAAGTATGAAGGCTTTGAGAGAGACCGTGGAATGGTGGGTAGCATAGCTAGTAGACCGGAGTTGGCAGAGGTTGTCCTGGAGTTGTAGGCAACCTTGATCAACTTGTCTGTGCAACTGCAACAGCAACTGTTATTAGTATGATGAATTTCTTCCCATTGTTTAGCTAATCCATTAAATATAATGAATTTATATCCATTAATACTAGTTCAAAACTGAACCATTAGTTAAATATCAAATATCAGCAATAAATAGTACTTGATAATTTAATGGGAAGTAAAAATTGTTAAATTCATTTATTTGATTATCGGTATTTACTAATATAATGTGTTACAATAAAAAAAAATATATATATATATATATATATATAATATGTATATATTTTTTTAAAATTATTGATAAAATTATATTAAAAAAATAGTTAATTTTAATGATTTATCATTTTTTATTGTACATAATACATTTTTGTATTGGTATCTATCTTATCTTATCTTACAGTCAAAGTTAAAATAACATACTTTATATATTTTCATTATGTTAGTTATTTTAATAGTTAAAATATATTAACATACAGTTATAAAAACAATATAATAATGTCATAATTAAAATAGTGTAATATCAAATGATCCAATATTAGTAAAATGAAATAAATTTATTATTTATTAAATTAATATCATAAATAATATATTTTAAAAGAAAAATTGCTTAAATAAATATCTATCAAATATTTATATTATGATTATAATTAATTCTATAAATAATATATTAAAAAATAATTAAAATAACATATTTATAAGTTTATTATTTACTTTTCATACATAAAATAAATTGAAATTTAATAAAATCAGTATTTTATTATTTATGAAAAATAAAAATATTTAAATTATTTAAAAATATTATAATTTAATATATTATATTTAAAAAATATTATATACTAAATTTAAAGTATTATAAATATTATTATTATATTATAATTATTAAGAAAAAAATATTTATTTATAGTATTTTTTAATAAAAATATTTATAAATTAAATTGTTAAATAAAAATATATTTAACTCATAATGTTTGTTATTTTTTTAATTAAATAATTAATTGATTTATTATGATAAAATAATTTTAAATTAATTATTTGCGTAATATTTATTGTTATTATAATTTTTAATAATTAATTTATTGTTTTATTATTAATGTTGATTTAAAAAATACTTAATTTAACGTATATTGATTAAATTTTAACATAGTATTTTAAATAAATAAAAAACAAATGAAGAAGGAGAAAAAAAGAACAAGAGAGATGAAATAAAATAAAATAAAAACAAACATTGAATGAGGGAAAAAAAGTATGAAGAGAGATATGATAAATAGTATATGAATAGTGTAAATAAAATGAAGTGATAGAGATTATTGAAATAAGTTTTTTAAAATATATTATTAATAGAATTCTTTTTCTTTTTCATTCACTCATAAATTTTCTATTTTCCTATTATTGTATTTTCTTTTTTTCCTCTCTTGGTCATTATTCTAATTAAAAGTATTATTTATATTTAAATTTAATAAAAACATATTAAGTATTCTTTTAAATTAATATTGAAATTTTAAAAAATCAATTAATTATTTAAAACTATTATTACTTTAAATAGTTAATTTAAAATTATTTTATCATCATAAATTAATTACTTATTTAATTAAAAATATCAAATATTGATATATTAATTTATTTAATTAAAAATATCAAATATTAATATATTAAAATTTGTTTAATAAGTCAGATTAAATAATTTTAAAAAATTTAATAAAAAATATTTTAAAATAAATATTTATGAATTTTAATATATTTTTATCAAATTTTAATATAGCATTCTTAGGTAGAACAAGATAATAAATAAGATAAAAAAATAATTATGTAATTAAATTTTGTACATGATTAATAAAAAAATTTAATTAAAAAAATAAATAGATATTTATTTTATTTAAGTAATTGAAAAAATATATATTATTTATGTTATTTAATTATCATTTATTGACATTAATGATAAAAAATAAAATGAATATTATAAATAATAAAATTATTGAAATATAGTGAAATATTAGAATAGTCAAATGATAATAATATAAAAAATTATTTATTTATTTATTTATTATTATTATTAATGTAAAAAATAAAAAAACAATATAGTAAAAATTTTAAAAATAATTAAATCATGTTTTACCAGTGGATGAAAAAAAAAATTATGTAGTTAAAAGGAATGTATTTTAAGAGAAGGAGTTAACATAAGATTTTAAAAAATATTACAAAATAAAATACTCAAATAATGGTTTAATAAACACTATTAATAAAATCAATTGAATTTTATTATTATTAAAGAAAATATAAATGGATACTAATTTAAGTGATAATATATATATATATATATATGGACCTTTAGAATATAAAGAAACATCAGATGGAGTAAACACATAATCTACGTTAGTGTTGATAACAAGAAAATTTAAAAATTATCTTTAACAAATACAAATTGACTATATCTTGGTTGAAGATACATACACTGTACACATAGTTGTATTATTAATGTTTAAATCTATCTAAGATATGAAATCATGACCAAACCAAAATTAACTACTAAAATTATTTTAAATACAATTATTCATAATTATATGCATAGAAGGATGTTAATTTTTACACAGTCAAATTATAATTTAAAAATTGAAAATTAGAATAAGGTTAATTTTCTTTATGCTGATTTTTTATTACAATATAATAATCTAGACATTAAGAGAGAGGAAGAATAAAAAACATCGTGAAAATCCCTTCCAACTTGTAACAAGTTCCACATTGCTGTACTCTCTTTAAATTAGCTAATAAATAAAAAAATTAGATCACATAATAGAGGAAAATGGGTTTCTGTGACAAAAGATAAAAGATAATAATGATTATTTTATTATGAATTAGAAAGAACCTTCTTTGTTTCTTTGCACCCTTCTTCACTAAACATCGTCGTATTTTTATTTTGAATATTAGAAAATTCAATAACTGAACTTATTTTTAGCTTCCACCCTATCCCACTCATAGATTATTATTCTGACCACTCCAACCTAAACATAACCCTTCACATTATTAATTAAAGTATAAGAATATCATATATTTAATTATCACTTTTAAATTGTTTCACATATTCGAAGTAAAAAAAAAATCTACAAGTCATGCAGTCAATTTATTGTTTTTTTAATATAGTACATCTCGAAATACTATTTAAAAACAGTTAGTTTTTTTAATCTTTAATCTATATATTAATTTTATCTTTTAAATTTTAATATATATATATATATATATATATAATATTTTATTATATTTTTACTGTCTATTTTTTTACATTTATTATATTTTTTTATTTTTTTTACCTTTTTATTACATCAACTTTTCATTATGATAAATAGTAATTAATTTTTATTTATTTATTGATATTATATTTTTTATATATTATATTAGTTAACATAATGAAATATGATGTCAACTTAAAATACAGTGTTTCTACAATATTTTAAATTTGTTTAAAATATTTTAATAGTTAATAGGGTATAATATGAAAATAATATATAATACTTGAAAATGAAAAAATATAATTAAAAAAGATTAATTTGTAAAAAAAAGTAAGATTTTAAAATTAATTTAAAACTAAAAATATAAACACTCCAACATATAATATAAATTAAAGTTTATATAAAATCAAGTATCTATTTTTATCTTTTTATATTTATCAACTAATCTCTCTCTATATAATTTTTGAGATGATATTTTAAAAACACATTGCACAAATAAAAATAGTACAGCACATTTATAATTAAGAATATAATTTTTTTTACATATATCAATATTTACAATTTTCTCCACACACACATATATTATATATTTATACACGAGTTATCAAACTTGTAAAATATATTTTCACTATTTTTCAAGAAACAATTCACTTTGAGTTACTATTTTCATAGGTTTAGAAAAAGTGAATATGAAATCACAAAATTCAAAAGTATCAAACAATGTGTAAGTATCAAAAGATAATATTAACTAAGAATAGAAAACAAATTGAATAACTTATTAAACATTAATGTATTTTCAGTTACTGTTCATTTTTAAACGTAGAAGAAAAATCCTATAAAGAAGTAAGATCGAAAAAGACAAAAAATATAGATATTTGTTTTTACTAGATTTAGGATTAATATATTTAGCAGGTAACAGTACTAGTTTTCTAATTTACTGAAGCAGATTCCCCTTTGGTCCGTGACATTTTTGTTCAGGTGTTACACTAACATTTCAGCTCCCTCGTTAAATAGTAAGTAACATTTGATTTTTCCCATAAAAAACAAACCTTTTGCTTATCAAATCCCATAACCACACACTCACCACAGTATAGATAAATCCATCCGAGATCTCATTTGTAAGAGAGAGAATCAGTGTCTTGCAGCACCCACCATGGGAACCCACCAAGCACTTCTTTTGGTTGAGTTTCTCCATCTATATATGACCCATAAGCACACACATAGTGTCATTCACATCCTTTTTCTTTTATCTCTTTCTCAGCTTTTAGGGCTATTCATTTTTGTATGGGTTTCAGGGTCTCTACCCTGTCTCTACTCTCCCTGTTCTGCTACCTCTTATCCCTGTGCCAAGCAAGAGCTGCAAAGTTCCACAATGTGAGTGACTTGGGAGGGAAAAAGGCAGTAATAGTAAATGGGTGCAATTTGTTCATGGGAAGTTGGGTCGTTGATCCTTCCTATCCTCTCTATGACTCTTCAACCTGCCCCTTTATTGCTCCTGAGTTTGATTGCCAAAAATATGGAAGACCTGACAAGCAGTACCTCAAATATGCTTGGAAACCTGATTCATGTGCCTTACCCAGGTAGTGCCAATCCATATGTTAACCTTGTTCCCAGATTCAATATTTATGGATTTTTTTTTAATGTAATATCTTAATTATTTCTTTGACTAATTTCAATTAGTATTCAAATTTTACTGTAGGTCGGCATAAGTTGCCATGAAACTCTACTTTTACTTTTTATTGAAGAACAAGATCTAAACAACTGCATTTATGTTTTGTTCAATATGAATACATATTGAGCCTTAGTTTATGTTGCCAACATTAAAACACAGCTTCATATCTTGTGCCTCCATTTCTCCTAAAAAATAACGTGAAATAGTTTAACAGTGTGTTTGGATTTACAAATAGAATAAACTTATGGAAAAATTATCATGAAACCAACCAGTTGTTGCTTCAGACAATAACTGTCAACCCACCTTTTACCAAACATGCACCATCCAACTTAATTATGGAAATTGTTTGGTAAATAAGGAAATAAGTCTTAAATTTGATTCCGTGGAAGAGACCAACCACTTTTGTATTCAGATTTCATATTGAATAAATAGCACAATTAAGAAACATGTTTTAATTTTTGCCCTTGCACGATTTCATATTGTGAATCAGCCCACTTGATTTGTTCTTTTCCCTCTATCATGTTCTTCTGCCAAACTAAAAGGGACCAAGATTAGTAAAACTCTTGTGGAAAGTGTTTGATAAATGGCATTTTGTTTATGCGACTGCAATTTTTTCTGGTTTAGGTTCGATGGTGCGGATTTCCTCAACAGATGGAAGGGTAAGAAGATAATGTTTGTGGGTGACTCACTGAGTCTCAACATGTGGGAATCACTGTCCTGTATGATTCACGCGTCGGTGTCAACTACCAAGATCAGCTTTTTGAGGAAAGAATCACTGTCCACTGTAACCTTCCAGGTTTGCTTTTGTTTTACTTTCTTTTCATATCTTTGTCTCATTTCTGGTTTTGTACAAATCAACAGGCTTCACTTAATACATCCCTCCCTATTTTTCTTCATTTTTCATCTCCTTGTTTGTTTCTCTATCACACAATGTTACTTCATGTTTTCATGGTTTATGTCCCTATTGGTTCTTCCATCATCAATTACCCAAGTTTTCTCCAACCCCAGTTATTATATTTATCGTTTGTTTACAACATTCAAGCTAGATTTTGACATAATGCTAGAAAAAAAAAAAATATGTTACTTATTTTGGTACAACTAGGGAAAATAGTATTTGAACTGAAAATTTATTGCAAAAATATTTACTCTCCGTACCACTATGTATGATAGATTAAGAAAAAATGTTAACCATACATCAAAATCAAACCTCTTGCATCTCTCTTATCACACTTAACACTTTTAAAATAAATATATAGAGAGGGGGTAGGAAGGGAAGCTGGATTGAACTTTCATGGATTTAAGTATACGAAACCAAGTTAAGCAGATATGATGAAACAACGCTTTAATGACATAGCTTTGAATAGTTCCTTGGACAGGAGAAGATTCCTTTTGCTGGGGCCAGGATCAATCAAATATTCAAAATAAAGAATAGAAATAAAAGTAGTAGTGTCCCCTAAAGAAAAAGTGGAAACCAAAATTCTTCTTATTAGCAGAAGGGCCTGATTTTGAAACGAAATTGTAGTTTGGGAACTCTTGAGTTTATCTATGGTATATGACAGGCTGTGCATACCAACTTGATTACAACTTGGAGGCTCCTCGCAATTATTTGGTTCATTATCTTACTTTGTTGGGTATCAATCATGGAACATGACACAAGATAGCAAGGCTTTTCTATTTGAAAACGATCTATATGACGTGCTATTATTGTTTAGTTACAAAATCCATAATATTATAAAACTCGGATAAATTTCAGATCTCAATCACTAGGTAGCAATTCCCTAGTATATTGAAACCCAGATGAAAAGAAAATGTTTTATTCCAGAAGTTTTCCAATGTTTGTAAGGTAATAATTCAATAAATATATACAGCAATATATTTCTCGGCTTCTGATTTTTTTCACGATAATAATTGCAAACCTTCTATATCTCTTTTCTGTTAACTGATATCTTTTAATTTTATATTGCTGAAAATTTATTGTGTTTTAATCTATACTAATATATTTTAGAATGATAGTTAAAATAATTATTAACAGATAATAGTTCATAATTATTTATTAATACTTATAAAAAAGATAGCATTATTATATTCAAAAAGTGACGTTGACAGAACAGAGCATGTTTGTTGGCAGTCATTATTTTTCACGTGAATATTTTTTGTATGCCAATACATGCTTACCCTTTTGAAATGATGTTATGTTAAAGTACTTTTTTTTTTTGGCAATTTTTGTTGAAGTACATTAATCACTTTTGCGGTGCTAATTATCGAAATACAATTAGAGATTATGTATGCTAGAATAAGAGAGATCAAAATCTATGCATGTTAAAACCTGTTCTTTTATTTTGTTAACAAAAAGTGATATAAAAACAATATATGAATATAAGTTGACTTTGATACATGGATGGGTCTCGTAAATCCAGTCCTAGTTGTTTTGCACTTTATGGTTCGGTTTGTCAAATATCACATACATATGTATATGTGGGTATGATGTAATGGAATCTCAGCCATGGAAAGTGGATTGATAATGATTAGTGGTTTGGTGAGTTCTTGCAGGACTATGGAGTAACTATACAGCTATACCGCACACCGTATTTGGTAGACATAATTCGAGAGAAAGTGGGGCGAGTCCTTACATTGAACTCCATTGCTGCTGGAAATGCGTGGAAAGACATGGACTTGTTGATTTTCAACTCGTGGCATTGGTGGACCCACACTGGAAAATCTCAGGGGTATTATGCGTTTATGCAGAAATCCTTATGCAAAAAATATTTAATGTATATTATGTGAAAGATAGATACAAAATTTCAACATAATCTTGTTACATTAAAAGTTAACATGGGAGGATCCAGTTAACTTGGAACTGCAAGTTCAAAGTTGTTTTGTTATGTTTCAGTTAGAATTTGACACTGCTGTATTTTCACTGACCCGTTTGTTTTTGGGTCTGACCTAACGGTTGCTGGTGATCTTCATATTCAGATGGGATTATATTAGAGATGGACCCAATCTGGTGAAGAACATGGACCGTCTGGAAGCATACAATAAAGGATTAACCACTTGGGCTAAATGGGTTGATCTGAATGTTGATACCACCAAAACTAAAGTCTTCTTTCAAGGCATCTCTCCTACTCATTATCAGTAAGTATCTCCTTCGCTCATTTTCAATTGAATTCGCTTTGTAGTTTGAAACTTTAATTGAAAATCTTGCAAATATCAATAATGAGTTGGAGAAAATCGTAAGATGTTGATGTATAAACGGAAAGGGATTTAAATATAGACCATAGATATAAATTGCATGTAATGAATACTTTTCATGGCTATCAGAAAACAACAGAGAAATTAGAACATGATGGATGAGAACATTAGAAGCATTTGATATGTGCAAGTGTAATATTGAACAACTGAATAACTATTTATGATAACTTTGTAACTCAAACAGAGGGAAGGATTGGAATCAGCCAAAGAGAAGCTGTAGTGGAGAGCTTCAACCACTGTCTGGATCAACATATCCAGCTGGTCTACCTCCAGCAACTACCATATTGGACAATGTATTAAAGAAGATGAATACTCCAGTTTATCTACTTGATATTACACTCCTCTCGCAATTAAGGAAGGATGCTCACCCTTCTGCTTATAGTGGGGATCATGCAGTCAATGACTGCAGCCACTGGTGCTTACCTGGATTACCTGACACTTGGAACCAGCTCCTATATGCTACTCTCACCTCATGAAGGTGAAGGCCCATACAAATTATTGACTCTTCTCTTCATCCCTTGGTTATATATATATATAGCTAGTGTAAGAGATTTTCTTTATTATTTGGGGATAGATATATACTGTCAAAGGGGTGGAACTCAATTGTAAAATTATAGGAGTCTTGAAGAATAATTTACGAAACAAAATAAGTCAGGGATCAAAATGTTGCATACCTAGATAAGTATTTTCTTTACAAGGGTGTAATCTAATTTTATTGAATCACAGAATGACGTTGAACTCTGTCATTGATTAATGCATAGACCATGTATAACATCCGTCCCATACTAGCGGCAGCTACAAGGTTAATTGTAATTGTGAAACGGTTTCCCTCTTTCCAAGAAAGAAAGTTTTTTCTTTTTTGCATTTTAGTGTTAAATTGATAATTTTTCTTTGGTCAAATATTAACAACCAATTATCTCAGTAGTGACTGGACATTTTAACGACCAATTATATCAGCAGTTGAGATCTGAGAAAAGTTCTGGTAATCAATATGGACAATGACTTTTTATGGCATTATTATTGCTAGTAACATTTCAACAAAAAAGTGAGTTGAACAATAACTGAGAAGAGTAGTTAATCATAATTTCTATATGCGGTAGACACGGCTATGGCAAAGTCAATTGAAGTATTCCCATTATTGTTTTACTCATGAGCTAACAAAACCTTTTTACACTAGTTTTTTTTTTTTTTTTTTCCATATATGGAATACAACTTTAATTTATTTATTTTTTTTTTTGTCTTCAACAAATGTTTATAGATAAATTTATCGAAACGAACAACATTGCTATATAAAGCGTTGAAAATCACAAACCTTGCTACTTTGTATTAAGTGAAACCCTAACATGTCAACCATGAAACATGATTTTTCTATTTAAATAAATACACAAATATTTCATTTGGCTGATGATTATTAGGTTAATGAGTAAAGGCACACAAAAAATATAATAATTAGATATATAACTTAAAAGGAACTTTGAGAAGTGACACCTAACCTGAAAAATTTACTAATACATTCTAGAAAGTGGTATAAAATAGGGACCTATAGGTGGTGATTTCCTTTATAGATGTTAGCCTTCGTCTTAAGTGATCCTTCCTAAACGATAACTTGTTTGACCAAAAATCCTCCTCCTCTTATGGTTAAAATTTATTCATGTGAAATTGGAATTACAATCACAAATGGATCAATCAACACACATTCACCTCATACAACTTATTATCTTAAACATATTATGTTAATACACAATTTAAAATAAATAGGGGACCCAAAAATATTCTATTTTTTGACATCCACTAATGGGCTATACTAAAATTAGTTCTCTCCAATTTAAGAAAGCTATAAAAAAGAGTTCAGAAGTAGTTATATCATTTTCTAATTTGCAAGATAAATGAGATCATTTGTCATTACACCACCACCCAATCCAATCATAGATATTTATATTTTCACTTGACCAAGAAAAAATATTCATCACTCCTATGCAGTGACGTATAATTATTAGATTTTATATCCCTATTTTTCTTTGATATAAGTAAAATCTTTATTAAAAAAATATTCTCTAATTTTATTATATTTTAGTATCTTTGATACTTTCAAAATATTAAGTAAAATTCCGCCACTGTTCGTATGAACCCAAAAAAGTTCACACTGTCACTATAATACCAAAATTTATAGAATCACTCGTATCTACCATCTCAAACATGACACAAGCAGACAACATATTCATTTGGTTTGTACTAGAGATCAGGTCATAAATGTTTTTTTTTTTTTAAGAATTGTTGGTGTCTCGAAAATTCAATGATTTTGTAGAACAATAGGCAGTACTAAAATAGTATTTAAAAGGATACAAATAGTCTAAAATAGAGAGGAAATTTGCATGTCCCTTAGAGGAAGCGTGAGTATTGTATGTGAACGAGGTTAGCTGATAAATTTTGTTCGGAAGTCTTCTTCATTTTCCAACTCTCCATAACCTATATGGAACACGTGAAATATTTGGATGAAATACCTACAAAAAGTATTATAACACTTATACAAACAACATTTTTATAAAAGAAATGTAAGATCATTAATTTTATAAAACAACTAATTTTAGAACAAATAACAAAAATAGTCATGTTGACATTTATATCCTAAAAAGATAATAATATTTAAAAATATAAATATTGAAATTGATTCTTGAAAAAAATAATAATCAAGAGTCTTAGACTACATTCATTCTTAATTGATTAAAATTCTTCAATTTGTATTTCTTTTATCAAATTAATGTTCATATAATGAGTTTTGAGAATGAAATGAAATATAATTTCATGATTAATACATATTTAAGATGACAGATATAATTTTTTTTCATTGAAGGGATTAATTTGCCTAATGTTTGTATTTCATGTATAATCTGACCACTTAATGAATATAATCATATTTTTCTTATAAAATTAATAAAAGTTGGGGCTAATTTAAAGACGAAACACAATTGCACATTTTTTATTAAATCTTTTATGCTCTACTCTCTCTTTTCTATGTTTAAAAACTAAACTGTTGTTTTAAAAACCAATGATACATTAAATATTCCTTTTTCAAGACTACCCATAATCAATGTACTAAGAGTATTCCCTTTAATGAAACTACATAAAATTTTATATAAAATCTAAAATAGTAATTATATCCTTTAATACATATGTTAAACTGTTAAATGACTACATTGAATTAATGAAAATGTTATACTGTGGAAGTTTTTATTCGCCACAAAAGATGGTATGAATGAATTCAATCAATGGTATGAATGAATTCAATCAATGGATATGAATGAATCATGCATGCAAAAACAATTTACTAGTATTAGACTCGCCAAAAAAATATAAAAGATAGTAATATTAAGGAATGGTTTTGGAGAAATTGAAGGAGCAATGTGAGTGTGAGGAAACAATTCGTGTTACTGATTGAGTGGTTCGTCTCGTTCCCTATCCAAGTCGTCCCTTCATGAATAGGTGAATTATGAATGCGTCTGGGTAAAGTGATGGCCATTCTATTAGTATTCACAAGCAAAATGTCCACTATCTATACAATAAAATCGACGCTACTAATTTTTCTGAAGCTGAGTTTGCTCCATCCCTAGCAGGTTGCAGACCTACAAAGGAATTTCTGTTGCTGGCTATGACATTGAAGTTGGCATGACCTCGCTTTATCTCTCAATTCTTGGAATGCTCTCATTGTCTCAACATCAAAACCCCCAGCAAACTGCCAAACACCAAAACTCATTATTATATCACATGGCCCTGTGTGGTCTCTGTATTAGAACAGGCACCTCTTTTGTATTATCGTTGAAACATATATGTAGGATTTACCTGATGCACTCGAAATGCAAATCTAACTCCTTGGACAATGAGCTCCTCTTCTTCAGGACCACCACCAACTGTCTCAAGCTCAGCAGAGACTCTCCTCATGTACTTCATGGCTAATTTCACAGATGCCAGCTTGATCTGTCACACCATAAAGTTGAAGGTACAAAAAATAATTAAATATGCTAACCAAAATTTGAGAATTTACCTCGTCATTCTTGCCTATGTAACTCTAGAAATAGTAAACAGCGAGCTAGGTACCAAGATACCCATGTCTCATTGTGTTTGGTTTATTCGCATGTATGAAGGATATGACCTTTTTGTTACTCTATTATTCATGTAATTGTTTAAAACGTATTGAATGTGTACTATCCATAATCCATCTTAGCGCCATTTGAATGCGACAAAGATATTAACGGTCAGTGATAAGGAATCTCGTTCTCTTTGTTCAAGTTTAAACGACTAAGCAGACAAAAAGATGGATTTTATAGATCTCTGAGTTCACATGTGCGCATGCAGAAATTTGCAGAGACACACAAGTAAGAATCCAACCTTTGCTTTGTCATTTTGCTACCAGCACTGCATCTTGTTGATCACACTAGACACGACATAGTGCAGTTAACTTTACCAAAGCAAATGTTTATTAGTGTTTGGATTGTATTATTCCGACACGATGAAATTTGAAGAATTGATATTTATAAATCGGCTTACTTAAATGAAAGTAACGAACGCTATTAAACAAATATGACCGAGACAATTCTTTTAGAAATCTACAAAATTAATCATTTGGAATAGTCTAAATCAATTGAAACAATTGAGACATTGAAGACAATTGGTCGTGAATTACCTATGGCTGAGAGTATATGTACGGGATGTAGTTAAAATTAAGCATATGCCATTTCCCAATTGACCATGAAAATTACCTGGCTCACAAAACCATTGTCAAGCATCCAGTGTACAGGTATGTGAAAGACTTTGTATCTATTTGTGGCTGACTCTCCCATTCTTGAGATATTGAAAACTCCATGCTCTAATCTGCCATAACCCAATTTTTAACACAACATTAGAGTATTTTTAAGGTTGTGTGCAAATGAACATTCAAATAACATTTTACAAATCATGTTATCATATTCGCATGTGGGTCAGGAATACGCATACTTTTCAAAAAGAGCTTGCATCTTCTTGAGAGCTGGACCACATGGCTGCCGAGGATCATCATGAAATGATGAAGCCTCGGATTCTAGCTTCTTCAGATCACAATACCCAAACGCAGCCTCTCGCAGTGCATCGGCCTTCTTCTCTGGCCAATCGAAGTGTTTCAACACTGCTCTTTCATCCACCTAAAATAAAAACGAACCATAGCAATGAATCTACTTTTTTATCTTAATCTAAACGCAAACGAGGAACAATTGGTAAAATGATATAAAATTAAGTACAAATGCTTATGCCAACTTTCATAATATTGTTTAGAAATAATATCATCCAAAATTACGTACCAAATAGGAAAGCTCGTCATCAAGCCATTTAACAAAGAGCACAACGTCTTCAATGTCTGTAAACGCAGCACCCTCCACTTCTTTGATTAAGCATCTAATAAAGTCTCCTTGCGTCTCTACATCTGTTTTTATCTGAAAAATGAAACGGAAATATTATTGAGAGGTGATAATGCAAGAAACCAGACATAAACATCTCTCTATTCGTGCTAAACTAAATTAAACTAGGCTCTAACTAATTAACTTAAACCAATAACTCTTGGGCGTAGTTAATGGATTTTTTTTTTTTTTCTTTTTCCTTTTGTAGTTCGACAATTAGAAAAAGTGATTCCATAAAGTGGATATCTACTTTGCGGCTTTGTCAAATTCGTTGGCATCCAAATTCGAATTTAATTGCTGTCTTACGTGAAAAAAATCCATTTCAAATTAAAGCATGCTATTTAGCATTTTGCGTTTGACATTGACACCAGTGGCACAATCGTAATTTCAGCATAAAACAGGAGACACACTTACCGCGAGCAGGTGAGACGAACGGTTCTCAATTTCACCGATCATGTCACGTGGATTGGCCGCAGGCGGCATTTCCACCGCGCCGGAGAGTGATTCTCGCCGGGACTGCGATTCCCTCCTCATCAAGGAGTGATAGAACTCCACCACTTCCGGCACCTTCCTCACGTTCGCCGTAACCTGCCTACTCCCCTTCGGCGGCGGTGGCGGAGGAGGCGGAGCAGCCTTAGACGCAGCCTTGGGAGGAGGAGGCGGCGGAGGAGGTCGTGAAATCACTTTCTCTGATTCGACATTGCCGTTTTCTGACGCCGCAGAATCAGCGTACTTCGAGCGCGTCGATGAAGAAGACAATGACGGTCTCGGTGGCGGTTTGGGAACGCGAGGCACACGTGATCTTGTTAAACTCGACTCCGTAGAATCGGCGAGGTCCTCCGAGTCGCGACGCGACCTTTCACTTTCAGCCGTCTCTTGTTTAAAATCTTGAACAGTAGCTTCAAACTGCTTGTGGTTCACGCTTCTATGATCCGACGCCGTTTTCTTCAAACTCTTTATCAAATTTGACCTCCCTGCCACCTCCAAAGGCGCTTGAAGTCTCACCGAAGAATGCTCGTCATTTACTGTCGAAGAATGCACGTCGTTTACTAATGCCTTGCAGACATGATCCGACGCCGTTTTCTTTAGCTCTGCAATCTCATCCTCCAACGCTTTAGTTTTTCTCAGGTTCTCTGTTTTCTCGTCTTCCAATTGGAGCTTCAGTTCTTCGAGCTCGTTCCTGAGCCTCCAGTTCTCTGCCTCCACTTGTTCCATTTTCGTAGTGTTTGTTTCAATGAGTGCGTCCCTGGCAGAAATCTGGTTCTCGAGAAGGGGAACGATGGCGACGGTTTCTTTGAGGAGCTTGTGTTCGAGAAGCTCTGTTTTAAGGCGAGACTCTCTATCGCGGAGGTCCTCGACGAGGCGGAGGAGGTCGAGAACGTCGGAGGGGCGGGGCTGAATCTGAGCGGAGGAGCGTGAGAAGTAAGCGGCGAAGGAGCGCGTGAGGGAGGATTTAGTGGCGGAGGAGTGGGGAGGGGTGGGTGGCGCAGGGGACTTGGGAAAAGCCATTGAGAGGTTGACCTTGGCAGCTACCATTGAGGTGGAACAGGAATAGGAATGGGAATAGGTAGGATTAGGATTCGGATTAGGGTTGTCTGGTTTGCAATATGATTGGAAGTGAAAGCTAACACCAACAAAGATGTCGCTGTCTGAATGTCTGTCTGGGAGTGGAAGGGAGACAGGGAGAAACAAGTGAAGGTCGGGGCAGAGAAGGAAGAGATTCTTGCAAAAGAGGCAAATTTGTATTAAAGAGGGCACCAGTTACGATGACCAAGGGACCCCATTTTCACTTTCCCTTAACTGCTTCACACTTCATAATTATTTTTTCCTATTCTCCTTTTTTATTAATAAAATATTCAAATTCCTCCATTCTAAAAATATAAATCCTTTCAAACAGGTTTAAATTAATATTATTAGTATTGTAAATAATGTTATTTTGTTTTTTAAAATTGAAAAACTTGATTCAGCCTTTAAATATTAAGAAACACAAATAAAATAAATAAACAAATAATTGTCATATATTTTTTTAATCATTAAGATTGTCATTAAATATAGAAACTAAAACATCTATTTTTTGAGTAAAAACTATTATAACAAGTGACGTGTCTTTTTATTTATTTACTGAACTCATCAAGTGTTTTTTTTTTCAAGGGAAATATGGATTTTGATATCAAATTAAACTAAAACTTGTCTTCCTTTTCAATTATCCAATAACCATTTTAAGTTTTACGTTTAAATCAGTCTTTAAGTACAATAACATATTTACAAATAATCAATCTGATTATTTGTCACACAATCTCATAGATTAAAAATGTACATTTATATATACCTACTTTTTCTGGTATGTTTGGACGGAAATATATATGGAGATAAATTTAAATGAAATATAGTACATTTTTACTCACAAACAAATAAAATTTAAAGTAGTATTCATACAATAAAATATATACAAATAGCGTACAATTTGTACTATTCACACATGTGAAAATCTAAATTATTTTAGCCTGCTATCGATTAATTCACGCCATGCTTTTCTTGCTCACATCAATATTCCTACTTCATTTTCTTTTAATTGTAATTTAAAAAAAACTATGTAAATATTGTTTAAAAAAATTAAAATTATATTAATTATTTTTATTCATTATATTCTTATTTTTTAATTAATTTTATTACAGGAAAAAACTATAATAATTTTAGATAGAGAGATAAAGTTAAAATATAAGAATATTAATAAGAAAAAAATAATAAATTTATTAAGAATAAATTAATATTTTTATTTGTATAATAAAATATAAATTACATATATTAAAAAATAGAGGAAATGTTCAACTAATTAATAAGAATGAACCAAATATAAGAACTAATTTCTAAATGTGCGTGAGATATAGAAGTTAAATAATTACTCTAAACACATTTATAAATAGAGTTGTTAAATAGCAGTTTAGTCTAATGGAGTTTATTAAAAAATTTGATCATACAGCATGATTTATATTTTAAAATAATTAAAATTTTTGTCTAATACGATTCTACGTTAACGTGTTAATTTTAACTTAATTAAATTTTTTAAAAATATATAAATATATTAATACCAAAATAATTAATTAAGAAAGTATTTAAATAAAATAAAATAAAATATTTTTAAATTTTAAATTATATTAATAAAATTAATTTTTTTATATATAATAATTTAATATATAAATTATAAGAGAATCTCTTTATTTAATATTTAAATAAAAATTAAAAATTTATTTTTTATTATCATAAATTTATTTTTAATTTATTAATTTAAAAATATTTCTGATATTAAATCTTAAAATAAGTAATTGATAAAGATTTATTTTTATATTTATAAATAAATTTTGTAATAAATTAATTTATAATATATATATATATATATATATTTATTTATTTATTAATAGAATAATATATCTTTATGACTTAAGTTTATATAGATTATAATATAAACAAGACAACTCCATACATGTTCAAGAAGAATATTACTTCTTAACTTTTTTTTTCTATTTTATATTACTTTTTTATATTGATCCATTATACTAAATTTATTTGGTCATCCTTATTTATAAATAATTATTTAACTTGCAAAACTAATTAAAGTGTAATAGAGAATGATAAAGTAATATAAGATAATTAAGTATGGTATATAATTGTTATTTCACTTGAACAATATTATTGTATTTTATATATGTGATTTCTAAAAAATAAATAGGAACACATAATAACTCATTTATATACAAAATAAAATATTGATTTAATACGTAAAAAAAAAAAAAAGTAGGCACGTTATGTTTGATTTCATTGATTTTTTAGCGACACCAAAAGTTCCCAATTTTGTTTTTGGGATGAAGACTTTTTCTTTCTTAGATTTGAAGGGTTTAAAAGTTGAAGCGTAATTAAAGGTTAAAATTGTTTTGTTAGTCAGTTTAGAATTGGGCGGAAAACTGATTTGAGTTAGGTTACGATAAAAAGGAAGACAATTTATGTTATGATGGAATGCATTGAATGATTCAAACACAATTACCTTCTGCAGAAAGCAAAAGGATTTGAAAAAGACTTCGAACTGTTTAAAAAGGAATTGACACAGAATAAAGATGATATATGTTATATTATATACTTGAGAGAGGGGGTATATATTTATTATGTAATTATAAAAACAAATAAATAAATTATAAGATATAGTGTGAATCAATTAATAGTTTCCTATAAGCCTTAAGTTTACATAAAGTTTGTACTATTAATATTTTACATAGGTTAAGATAAATTCATTTAATTAATTGAATTTTATATAAATTTAATTTGAGTAACATAATTCACACGGGCAAGAATAAATTAGGTCAAAAGTTTTAATGCGTAGCGTTTAATTTATTATTATTATTATTATGAAAATGGTTAAGAAGATACATTTTTTTTCCTATTCATAATTTTAATTTTAATTTGTGAAACTATTTTAACACTGGTCTTCTTATATTCATCAAGTTTTATATCATTTAGGAATTGAGAATAAGAGTAGTTTATATACACTCTTTTCCTTTAATCTATCGAGACGTTTTTGAAGTCGATGTCAATGATAATTTATATACATTCTTTTCTTTTAACTTACCAAAAAATATTTTAAGGACAAAATCGTCATGAATAAGAGTTTGAACTCTAAAACGGATAATATATCGGACGTAACAATTGATATTAACGATGTTATCGTATTAGGAATCGATGTCAAGAGTAATTTATATACACCCTCATCTCTTAATCTACCAAGACGCTTTTTAAGGATAAACTGTGACGGATGAAAGCTTTAAAGTGAACAATACCTCGGATGTAAGAATTGATCCTAAAGATGTTATTTATTAGGAATCAATGTCAAGGGTAATTTATATACAGCCTCCTCCCTTAACCTACAAAGACGCTTTTTAAGGATAAAACCGTGGCAGATGAAAGTTTCAAAACGAACAATACCTTAAAACTGGAAATTGATACTAAAGATATTATCGTACTAGGAATCGATGTCAAGGATATATACACTCTCATTCCTTAACCTACTGAGACGCCTTTTAAGGACAAAATCGTAAAGAATGAGAGTTTCAAAATGGATAATATCTCAGACGTGAGAATTAATACTAACAATGTTATCGTATTAAGAATCAATGTCAATGATAGTTTATATATACCTTCCTCTTTAATTCACTAAGGCGCATTTTTAGGACAAATCCATGATGGACGAGAACTCAAAAATGAACAATACCTCAGACATGAAAATTGATACTAACGATGTTATCTTATTAGAAATTGATGTCAATAGTAGTTTATATACATCCTAGTTTATATACATATTCATCCATTAATCCACTGAGGATAAAATCGTGACAGACAAGAACTCCAAAGTGGATAATACCTCAGACATGGAAATTGATACTAACGATGTTATAGTATTAGGAATCGATGCTAATGATAGTTTATATACACTCTTCTCCCTTAACCACCAAGATGCATTTTAAGGACAAAATCATGATAGATGAGAACTAAAAAACGGACATAAGACCGAGATACTCTCAATCCTTAATCGGAACAATATATATCTAGTTTATTGATTTGATGGATTAATTTTTAAAAATATTTTAAAATATTATATTTTCTATTATATTATTAGAATAGATAAATATATTAAAATATTATAATTTAAATTATAAATATTTTTAATAATATTTTTAATCTATCTAAAAATAATAATTAATAAATAAAAAATAATTATGATAATTAGTCTATTTTATTTTGTTTTTGATAAATTAAAAATAAAATGGATTAAAATTTAACTGATTGACCCGTTTTATCATAATTAATTAATTGGGAGCAATAGGCTCTCCTGGATCATATATGTATGGATGAGGCCAACTGAATTGAACAGAGTAGTTGAACAAGCAGCATATATCATGGGCCCAAACAAAATATCAAACTCATGTCTTAATGATCTTTGTTATGGGAGGCCTGGAAGGTATAGTTTGCTTCTATTCCAACCCAAGTTAGAAACGAGGGATTTGTTATTCACACCATTTTCTTTGCTCTTCATACTCCCGCTTTTTATATTCCTCCTAAAATACTTGATTTTCTTAACGTCCATGTTACTCCCTTTCATTCTCATTACTTAGCTTTACCACTTGAAAGCTTAATTTTTATTTACAAGTTACGCAAAGCATCCACCAATCAGCACCAAATACCTGCCTTCTTCAACTTTCCAGCATCTTCATAACTCTCTTGGTGTGCCAAGTGTTAAACACTGATTTCAATACCTGCCTTGGCACAAACATTTTCATCATGAATTAATATTAAGCAAAAAAAAAAACTAATAAACTAATTTATTTAAACGTTTAATTAATTTATTTAGTACCATCAAATTTTTGAAAAAACATAAATTACTTTCCTTGAAATCTTCTTAAGTAATTCTTAAATAATTATTTCTAAGCGTGTTTATGGGTTTTTGTACATAGTTTTTCATAACATAGTTACAATTTGTTAATTTTATATGC